ATCTTAATTATTATTTTTTTATTAATAATGCGAAAAAAAATTAATAAAAAAAAAGAAACAATTGATATAAAGGGTTTCGTGTGACGTCATTTGCGCTTGTTCTCACGATACATCAAAATTTTTTTGAGATCGCGCGAGATTTTATTTATTATTTTTTTTTAAATTTTACCTGATTTATATCATATAAAATATCTGATAAAATATTTTGTTTTATATTAAATAAATATTGATACTGTGATTATGTTAGAATGTTCTGAAATAACCTCTTTAGAACGGCCATAATTTTATGTTTCCTCAGTGGCCGTTGTTCAGAGGTTTTATTGTATTTGTTTTTTAAATGAAAAAAATCTCTTAATTTTTAGAAAATAAATGGCTTAAAAGATATTGATGTTTCTATACGAGGATATAATAATTTAACAAGAGAATAATAGTTTCTGATGAAAGATTTCAATGATTTAAGTGAATGTTTTGTTAAATCGTGTCACAAACAAGTATTAACAGTTTTTTCTAGATAAATTTAAATGATATTTATATATATATTAATAAAAAAAAATGAAGACAAAGTCAGTTATCGTTTATTCGCTTTCAGTCCTATAAATTATCATTATTTATACATCGCTGCTTTGTTTTGATAGTGGCATAATTTTTTTTAAAAAAATGTTAATTTTACAAGGAAAGCATTCAAAAATTCTAAATGACTAACATTTGAATACGATTTAATAACATACACGTGATCTCTAGTGGGAATCCAATGGAGGGAGAGAGAAATATGCCATTTTATACGATAAAAGTACTCTATCTATGGAGTTTATTTATGCAAAAAACAAAGCGAAAATAGTTTTTACAGCTGTGTCACTATCGAAATTTTTGTTATTAAGATTATATAATAATTTTAATAACAAAAATTTCATTTAAAAATATAAATTTTTAAGATCATTGACGTTACTAGATATTTAATTATTAATCTCTTTGCATTGTCTTTCCAAGTTAACCTATGCGTTTCGATAATAAAACCATACAAAATTTCTATAGACATTTTTTATATTATTTAAAAACAATACATTCTTTACTTTTCAAGATTAAAAAAAAAAACTTGTTTGTTTATGAAACAATGTCAAAAGATTTCCTTTCCATTCTTCAAGGTTAATTACATATAACAATGTTTTTTTTTCATTAGAGGTGGCAATTCTTTTCATAATCTTATTTTTAACTTATCAATTATCGAAAGGTGATTTGTCTGTAAAAATTATCCTGAATTTCTTTTTAATATTATCAAAACAGTTTCTTTGATAGCACGTGAAAGATATCGACAACCCTTTAGGCTAAAATTCGGGGTGAATTATGGTGGGTTTTATGTTTAAACTATTCAATACGAAGCATTGACATAGAACAACTAATTTGGTAGATGTTATGCAATAAGAAAAAGTGTAGTCCTATATATATATATATATATATATATATATTTATATATAGTCTATAGTATATATATGTTCATATATACTCGAAATTTAGCGCTCTGTTTCATTCTTATTCTTTATACTAATTGGATATTGAAAATTGGGTGTAGTATATTTGACATGGTTCCTTTCCCGGTCAGACGATACGGTCCGTCGTCAGTAAAATTGAAGGTCTTCAACAACTTTGAAAATCATAATCATTCTCAAATAAGAGATTTACTATGGATTTCCATTTCACTATAAGGAAAGGTTTGATATATTAATCGAAACCTTATAAAAAAAAACTGTTTAAACATAAGATAAACGCTTCATAATAATAAAATTATAATAAAAATGCTTTAGATTTTAACAAGAGATATTTTTAATTATAATTTTATAGTTTAAATACTTAATAAATAAACGTGATTTATGAATGTCTCAACAAGAGCATGAAAATATTACAAATGTCTTTAGAATTATGCATGTTTTTTAAATAATATAATAACGATATTTATTGTAAGTAATTATCGATAAGGCCTTATTAGCATATATATATAAATACGAAAAATTATAATATTGTAACAAGATTAGATAACATTTATGAGAAATTGGATCTATGTAAATCTCTGATGATATACATTAAGAGTGGATAGTTATGTAAGCTGTAATTTAGGAGTAAAATATAAGAGGAAAAAATGAATAGAAAATGATGATTTGCATTAAAATCATTACAATATAAAACAATTTTGTATAAGGTTTATTGCTAATTTATAAGGAAAAGTTGCATTACCCCAATTATTATAATTTTTTGGGCTTTTATTTTTTACTTTTTTTTTGCATTTTAGATACTAAGATTCCTTGTGGATTCGACCAGGTTATTATAAAATTTGCACAACACAGCTTTAATAAATATATTATATAAAATAATAAATTAAAAATAATTCATATCACAATACCGGTTATTTTGCATACTACTGAAAAACATTGACGTATAAGAGACAGTAAAATTTTGCACAATGGTCACATTGTTAATGATTAAGTATATAAGGTATTTTATTTGTAGTTAAACTGAATTCATTGGAATGTGAAACGTTCGACCCAACTGAAACCTTTAGTTTTATTATGGATGCATGGGTCGTTTCTCATCTTTACTCACGCTGGACGATCTTACCATGGGTCAGATCTTCCCGTAATAAGTATAATTTTAATATATGTAACCCCATTTTATGATTCAGAAATAAAACGATATTGAAAATCGAAAAAACGGCACAGTAAAGAGATGTCAATAATTATATTGAATCCTGTTTCATACCTAGTACGATTACAGAATATAGTAAAACCTGTGTAAACAGAAACCTGCCAAACCGAATATTTTTCCTGTTTAGGCAGGTTTTCTTTTTATTCAAGTTCCGTTTTGGACAGGTTTTACTGTATTTTCTTTATAAAATAGATCATTGGCATGGGAAAACCGCAGAGAAGTTTTCAAGGGGACAAAGCCTGGAAACGGAGAAAGAGTCGTATAATCGAGGGTTTAAGATTACATCTTTCAATCACTATTATAATTTGCGGAATTCTTTTAGTAGAAGCAATTGCCCCTTTTCAAATATATAATAATAAATTTTCTTATTTTTTAGGTATTTTTTTGCGGAAAATTTAGTAAAATTGTTTAACCACATTTTTAGAATTTTAAGATTTTTGTCTTAAATATCTCATCTTATGCAAAATTTTCCTTACATTCCTTTTGCAATTTTTTTTCTTCCGCATTAAAGATTTTATAAAATAAACAAATAAAGATAAATTTTACATAAATTTATTTAAAATAAATTTATAAATTTTCACTCAACTTTTCTTTTACAATAGATTATTGTAAGTCATTTCCTTAACCATAGGCTATATCCTTACAAAAAAATATCTTAAAATTAAAGCATTTACTATTTATATAAAGCTAATATTTGTTTATAAGTTAAAAATAAATCGATGAATCAAGAATTTTCTATATTAATTTGCTTAATCCTTCGAGGCTAACATTATATCATCATAAATCGGATTATATACGATTGTATATACTTAATTGAATACAGATTCGACTTGATCAAGCGAAACAAGAGCAGGGATCAAGAAAAGTAATTGCATTTCTTATGTGTTGCTATTTTCTCCGATGAGTAAACTCCAGTAAGACAAATTAATCTCATCATACATCAAGCGAAACACAAAGCAATACGTATTTCTAATATCTGTTTATTTATCACTTCTATAGAGTTTTCATTTAAAAAATCTATATAAAAATACGTTAATTTTATTAAATTTATATAGTTTTTTTTAATTCATTATTTATACGTGCGCTTTATTTATTTATTAATGAAGAATTTCTTTACCATAGTTGAATTAGACGGTTATTTCTTATTAAGATGACAGCTAATTAGTAGTACAACGTGATAAAAATCTCTTGCATAATCATTATTTTAATAATTCTTCCGTAAATTTAAAATTATTTTGTGATCTTGTTTGTTCACTTCAAAACTTTCCCTAATTTCTTTGATAAAATATTAAAATATAATATATATATTTTTTGATTTTTTAATGTATTTTAAGTGAATATAATTCACTTAATT